TTGTAGTAAACTCCTAGCTCATGGCCATTGAACCCAACATAGCAAGGACGACTCATCTCAAATCTACACAACCCGAATAGGATGCCACAGCTTTCACAAGCAGAATGTTAGTTAACAAGTGGTAGTGATCATCATTGGCATCATTTGCAACATGTGCGCTTAGACATTAATTAGTGGTCTTAGTCATGTGAATGATGGACACAAAGGATTGATTTGCTTTCGATCCCTTTATCTTGTTTGGAACCAAATGGAGGTTGTCAACAAGGAGAAGACACAGAAAGCAAACATATGGCTGCATCCTAATACATCCAACAGCCAAGTAGACATCATTGGCACAGAAATGTGGCCTCAGATATGTTACAAGTTAAAGATACCATAACGACTCATTGGTGGCACTAGAGCATACGAAACAGAATTGTAGAATCAAGCAAGCATTGGATAGAAAAAATAGTTTAAGGCAAAAGCAAAGGGCCTGTTTGTTTGTCTAGACAGATCTGCAAGTGACACGCGCCGGCAGAAAACCAACCAGTGCCACCTCCTAGTTCTTTTCATCATCATTCACCTAACTAGATCTGAAACGCTACAATGTTTCTTGTATACCTCATGTTCAAGCAAGGACCAAAACAGTGAAGCGAACAGGAAAAGGTGAGAAAGGAGACCTGTGGATCGGATCTGTCACCTCTGTCGTGGCACACGACGGACACGGACACCAATGCTGCCATGCTGCACCAGGAAGACCCGCTGCCTAGCCTCCAAAAGGACGTTTGAGCCACCATAACACACTGGGGATCCTTCGTTGCCACCGCCACTACCGCCGCTGTCGCAAGTCCAACAGGCACATATTTGTTTCCACTTGTAGGGGATAGGGATGTATCCAATATATAAGTCAACCTGTCCACACAGAGAACATATACTACTCCAAAAACATGTCAACACAACCAAGTGTCTAGCGCAATGGTGAAGATGGTCTATTCCTTGCTCTAGGTGCCGAGTTCGACTCCCAGGTCTCATGGTTTTTTTAGTTTGAATTTAATTAAACCCTGGCGGCAACAAGTGACACGCAAGCCGTCAGGTCCCACAGGTTGGATTGAGATGGAGAAAGGTCCCACAGGTACACATGACACATAAGCCATCGGGTCCCACAGGTCAGATGGAGAAACGGTCCACAAGTGACATGCAAGCCATTGGGTCCCATAGGTCGGATGGAGATGGAGAAAGGTGCCATTGGGTCCCACAGGTCAGATGGAGATGGAGAAAGGTGCCGTTGGGTCGCACAAGTCGGATGGAGAAGGGTCCACAAGCACAAGTGACACGCAAGTCGTCGGGTCCCACAAGTCAGATGGAGATGGAGAAAGGCCCCATAGGTTCGGGTCCCACAGGTCGGATGGAGAAGGGTCTCACAGGTACATGTCGCATGAAGAAATGATCGAGCGGAGACTTTTATGATGAATTGCAAGCATCATGGATGAGTAACTGCAGGTCCCACAGGTACAAGTCGGATGGATAAGGTACCGTGTGGAGATCTATGACGAAGCACTGTCATTACAGATCAAATATTGTTTCGTCATAGATCAGTAATTAGTTCAATCATGAAGCCCTATTCGTCACAGTTCTGAATAAGATTGTCACAGACGAGTAGAAATAGTAGCGCGAGTGATCTGTGATGAAAACCCTATGCTGTTCTATGATGTTTTTTTATGATGATACCTAATTTCATCATAGATAAGGGGAGGTTCGAGGTTCATCACGGTGATCTATGACGAAACCAATATTTTCGTCATAAAAAGTGATTTTTATGACAGTTTTGGATTCGTCATTAAGATTTTCATCATAGAAGTGGATATTTCTAGTAGTGGCTTCTTCAAGAGCCAGAGAGGATCGGACTCTGGATTATGTCTGGTCATGCTTGACCTGATGTGTCCGGTTATGATTTCCCTTCTCTAGAACCTTACTGGAGTCGACCTGACGCGCGGTGGCATGGCGTCAGGCGAAAGAAGCGGCGCGTCTAGTCGCTTGTTGTTGGCGTGCAGAGTTGTGTGGACCTGACACGGCTCGAGAGCGTCAGGTCATGGCTGACTATGTCCGGTCGCAACTTAAGCACGAGCGTGAGCGATTTCAATTGTTGGGATCGCGCGGTGCAAAATCAAAGGTGGGGACACGTGGCGCAGATCCAAGGATCGTACGCTGGGGTCCTACGTTTGGTCAACCCGACCGGTGCGTCTGGTCACCTCGAGGATCAGTGTAGTGAGAGCCAAATGGCTCTATTTCTAGGGGACACCTATATAAGGTTTTTGGCCAGCTCTCGCTCACTCTCTTGGCCATTTGAATTGATATAGCAACCTTCTGATCTTAGCCAAAGCCCTCCCACTCATCTCTATCATTGATTCATCATCTTTGTGAGATTGGGAGTGAATCCAAGTGCATTGCTTGAGTGATTGCATCTAGAGGCACTTGGTGATTGTGTTTTGCTGCGGATTTTTCTTGTTACACTTAGTGGGTGCCACCACCTAGATGACTTGGTGCAGCGAGGATCGTCGAGCGGAGGAAGGTGATTGTCTCTGGCTCGATTGTGGTGATTATGAGGGGTTCTTGACCTTTCCCCGATGGAGAGACAAAAGGTACTCTAGTGGATTGCTCGTGGCTTGTGTGATCCTCATCTTGTGTCAGTTGTGCGGCACCCGATGGCGGGTTAGGCGTGTGATGCCTATAAGTGTGTGAACCTCTAAATGAGTGAATCGCCACAACGAGGACTAGCTTGCCACCAAGCAAGTCAACCTCAGTGAAAAATCATTATGTTATCTCTTTCCACCAGAATTCTATTGTGATTGATTGATTTCATCTTGTGATTGGTCCATTTCTCGACACGGCGGTATAACTCACTATCCCTCGTGTATTTACTTTCTTAGTGTAGCTAAGCTCTTTAGTGTAGCTAGTTTTGAGAACTAGCTTTTGTGTCGGTCTAGTGTGGTTAGTGAGGCTCTTTAGTTAGTCTTTGAGAGCTCACTAACTTAGTGTAGTGACATAGCCTTTGTGTGCATAGAGACTATAGAAACTAGAACTGTGGTGGGTGGCTTGCATTTTTAGTAGGCTAGCATAACATTCGCTTTGCCTCATAATTATCTAACCGCTTTGCTTAGTGTTGTTGTACAAATTTTTATAGGCTATTCACCCCCCTCTAGCCATTAGGACCTTTCACCGAGACCGGCATGGCAGGGGCCAAGGGCGGGGCCGCACGTCAGATCTAGGGTCGAGGATGATGGGAAGGACACCGCACGCAGATTCTACATCGGGAAGAAGGTCATGGCAGAGGAGAGGAAATTGAGAGAAAAGGAGAGAAAATAAATAATATGACCTGGCATGTGGGTCCCATGTATTGGGGAAGAGTAATGGTGATATGTTGAAACATCTCCCCCAATATTCCAAAAAGACACTATTGGTGATGACCAATATCACTCTAGATTATTGGTGATCTGTTGGGTATCTCTCCCAATATTCAATATTCTAAAAGAAACTATTGGTGATGACCAATATCACCTTATTGGGGATGGATTATAGAGAGTCAGCTTCCCATTCCAACTCCCCCGATATGAGACTAATGGGGCTACCCTAATAACATTTCCATGATTAAAGGGGGAGATGCTTTTACAGTTCCCTAATAACTCAACCCCATTATCGATGGGTCCTACATATTAGTGGATCAAAACATCTTCTTCCCTTCCCTGCTGCCGACCATGGCCTAGGTGGAAGAGTGTGGCCCTTTGTCACGGTGGCAGAGGAGCTACGCGAGGAGGCACAAGACGACGTGTTGTCCGGTGGCCCCAAGCTCCAGCAGCCACCACGCCAGCCGCAGCTCCAGCGGCGGCCACCTCCGCACCCAACCATGACCCCATCCCTGACCACCTCCATGCCCATCCGTGACCCCGACCACCATCCAGCCTCGCCCTGCCATCCCCGTCCCTGGCTCTGGCCGTGGCTGCACCGTCCCCAACCTTGGTCGCGCCGTCTCCTCCACCCCGTTCGCCCCGGGCCATGGCTGCGGATGCACGAAGTGGGGCCAGCCTGTGGGAAGACACAAGCTCCTTGCTTGTCCTCTCCTCCTCTGGATCTAGGCGAGCTTGCAACCATGGTGGCTGCTTGGTGGTGAGCAGAGAAAGAAGAAGGCAATTATGGTGGGCCCCACTGTATTGGGGGACATGCAACTCTCCCCTTCATTTGAGGGGAGATGAACTGTATTTTGATGGCAAAAAAAAAAGGAGGGTTAGTGGGGGACTGCTGTAGAGAAAAAGTGAGGCATCTCCCCCATATGACAGTTTTATGGGGGGTATGAGGTGGGACTAGGGAACTGCTGGAGATGCTCTAACGGGAGGTTGTTCTCCCATAGTACACTCACAAGTGTTGCGCTCAAACCTGAAACTAGCGCCATTCTTGTTGTCATCAGATTCATCACCAATTTATATTCAACTTTTAGCATCAGAGCTTTAGACATGACCAGATGAGATACGACGAAGCATTGAACCAACCACGTGATGGATGCAAATACGAATGCTACAAGCGTAGTCAGATCAGATGCAAACCATCAACGCGTTCACCGAGTACTTTACTGAAATGCTTACCTGTAAAGAATTTCCTTCTCTACTAGTAGTAGTTTAACATGGCACGCAACCACGTAACCATTGACGAGATTTAGACATGACCAGATGAGATACGACGAAGCATTGAACCAACCACGTGATGGATGCAAATACGAATGCTACAAGCGTAGTCAGATCAGATGCAAACCATCAACGCGTTCACCGAGTACTTTACTGAAATGCTTACCTGTAAAGAATTTCCTTCTCTACTAGTAGTAGTTTAACATGGCACGCAACCACGTAACCATTGACTTGACCGACCTTGGAATATGGATTTCTTCAGTTCAATCGCCGTCGCTAATCAACGCTTAAACCAACGCACTGCTAATCAACGCTCAAACCAACGCCCTGCATGCTAATCAATGAGCCATGAGCACCACCCTCGCCGTTGCAGCGGCCCTGCACCTCCAGCTGATCACTCTCGGCTTGCTTCTCCCACTGCCACCCGCCGGAGCGGTTCGCCTCGACATCCTCACCCGGGACGGCGCCATCGCTGTTGAGGACCACGCCACGGACTTCTTGGTCTCCCCGGACGGCACGTTTGCCTGTGGCTTCTACAGCGTGTCCTCCACCGTCTTCACCGTCTCCGTCTGGTTCGTGCGCGCCGCCGACCGTACCGTGGTCTGGACCGCCGCGCCCGGGCGCCCCGTGCACAGCAGGGGCGCCCGCCTCGCCCTCGACGACCGCCGTGGCGGCGCGCTCGTCCTCACGGACTACGACGGCGCGGTGGTGTGGAACTCTACCGCCGCCGCCGGCGCTCAGACTCAGGCGGGGCCGGCGTCGCGCGCCCAGCTCCACGACACGGGGAACCTCGTGCTCGAGGACGCGGACGGCAACGCGCTGTGGCAGAGCTTCGACAGCCCCACGGACACGCTGCTCCCCGCGCAGCGGTTCACGGCCGCCAGGCACCTGTTGTCGCGCGGCGGCAGGGGCAGGCTGCTCGCCGCCGGCTACTACAGCCTGGGCTTCAGCGACTACGCCATGCTGTCCCTCTTCTATGACAACCACAACGTCTCCAGCATCTACTGGCCCAACCCCTACAACAACTACGTGGCCAACAAGCGCAAGATCTACAACTTCACCCGCGACGCCGCGCTGGACGCGCTCGGCCGGTTCCTCTCCAGCGACGACGCCAGCTTCGTGGCCGCCGACCTCGGTGCCGCTGCCGGCGTCAGGAGGCGGCTCACGCTGGACGACGACGGGAACCTCCGGCTGTACAGCCTCGACGTGGCGACGGGGGCGTGGGCGGTGTCGTGGGCGGCGTTCGGCAACCCCTGCACAATCCACGGCGTCTGCGGCGCCAACGCGGTGTGCCTCTACGCGCCCGCCCCGGCGTGCGTCTGCGCGCCGGGCCACGAGCGCGCTGACCCTGGCGACTGGACCAGGGGCTGCCGTCCGGTGTTCCGGCGCGACTGCTCGCGGCCCACGAAGCTGGTGGCGCTGCCGCACACCGACTTCTGGGGTTACGACCTCAACGACGGCGAGATCATTCCGTTCCACGTGTGCGCGCGGAGGTGCCGGGGCTCCTGCGCGTGCGTCGCGTTCCAGCACAAGCAGAACATGGAGTGCTATCTCAAGAGCGTCCTCTTCAACGGCAGGACGTTCCCTGGCTTGCCGGGGACCGTGTACCTCAAGGTTCCAGCTGACTTCCACGTGCCAGAGCTCCACGTGCATCAATGGCGGCAGTCGCACGACGGAGGCCTTGCCATCCAAGAAGACATTGCCAGATGCGACGACAATGGTGCCAATGCCGCTGGCACAGAGGTCTTCCTCAACGTCTCCACCTATAGCAGCACCAGCGATGCAGGGAAGCCTGTGTGGCCATACCTGTACGGGTTCCTGTCGGCGTTGCTCGTCGTCGAGGTGGTCATCATCGGGCTCGGCTGCTGGCTCTTCTCTAGAAGGGGCCTCTTCAGGCCATCGAGGGTGTGGGCGATTGAGGAAGGATACAAGCTCATCACCAGCAACTTCCAGAGGTACACCTACTCAGAGATCAAGAGAGCCACTGGCGACTTCACCGCCGTGATCGGCAGCGGTGGCTCCGGCGTGGTCTACAAGGGGATCCTGGAGGACGACAGGGTGGTGGCCGTCAAGGTGCTCAAGAACGTGAGCCAGAGTGAGCAGGAGTTCCAGTCTGAGCTGAGCGTGATAGGGAGGATCTATCACATGAACCTGGTCAGAATGTGGGGGTGCTGTTCTCAGGGGAAACACAGGATTCTGGTCTCTGAATACATCGAGAATGGGTCACTTGCAGAGATGCTATTTCACAGGGAGAGAGAAGCATCAGAATCAGATGTTGTTCTTGGTTGGGACCAACGTTTTTGGATCGCCTTAGGCGTTGCGAAAGGATTGACCTACCTACATAGCGAGTGCTTGGAGTGGATCATCCACTGTGACATGAAGCCTGAGAACATACTTCTGGACAAGGAACTGGAGCCCAAGATAACTGATTTCGGTCTGGCGAAGCTGCTAAACCGAGATGGTGGTTCTGACGCGGGTCTCTCTCGGATTAGGGGAACCAGAGGGTACATGGCGCCGGAGTGGGTGTCTAGCCTACCCATCACAGAGAAGGTTGATGTGTACAGCTACGGAGTGGTGCTGCTTGAGCTAGTGAAGGGGGTTAGGATCTCAGAGTGGGTGATCCATGGGGTTAGGTTAGCTGACACGGATACTAGGATGGTTGTGAAGGCAGTCCAGGAGAAGATGGAGATCCATGGTCACGAAAGCTGCGTGGAGGACCTTATCGACCATCGGCTGAATGGTGAGTTCAATCTTGTGCAAGCCATGGCGATGATTAAGGTCGCCGTTTCATGCCTGGAGCAAGACAGGGGCAAGCGGCCCAACATGAGCTCTGTTTTGCAGGCACTCATGTCAGTGGAAGATGAAACAACAAGGTGATCGATCTGTTTGCTCTCCTCAAGGGATCATCAAATTGATTTGCGGCTGCTGGTGTCTTGTGGATTTATGGTTGAAAACAATTTTTTTGTCGTCGCGATCCTCTGACGTCAGTTAGATTATGTATGTACTGTAATTATTCTTTTATTACCAAAATTCACTAGGTGGCTAGCGTTAGTTTGTGCTGAACAACAAGGTTTGAAATGATACTTGCCAAAGTTTCTGGAGCGAGAATGAACTGGAGCCCTGATTCTTGGTACCGTAGCCGCAGGCCACGGTTCCAAACATGCCCGATTTCTGATTGCTCACCATGCGCATTAGGGGATCCAAGGTTTGGGGTTTATGTTTCAGGAGTGTGGGAGGAAGGATAAGAGTAAGGTCATTTTGGAGGCCAGCGGAGCAAGAAGGAGCTGATCACCAGACCGGCCAAGTGGAGGATGCCGGTTAGGTGGCACTTGGGCGAGGGCTTCATGGCGGTTTACCATTGCGGATCCAGTGGTGGTGGCCGACGGTGATGATGTAGGAAGGTGGCACAGGGGTGATGGTGCCGTGAACTAAAAAAAAAATAGACTGAGTGTCATAGAGATGGACCTTTTTCTTTTTGGAATTCAGACACAAAGTGTTTTCCAAATGAACACGTATCAGTTATTGTTAGAGGGAAAATTATTGATCTCGTGACTTAGGAGCAAATGCTTTTAGAAACATTACCACTTGCGTGCCATCCCAAAATAAATGATGTTTTAGTCATACTTCAAATTGTTTGACTTAGGATAAACCTAAAACAGGGACGGAGGGAGTAGTATATATCGTTACTCGGCTTGCTCAAAAGTTGTAAGAGTGTGCAGGGACCCCAAGGCCCCTCGTATTAATCATGTAACACATATACCAAGATCGTTTGGTTAATATATGCCATCTCTCTTTCTATATATACTTGTCACGAAAATAAAGTCATCGCTATAGATCAGCAGATGGAAGCGTTGACTTGAAGTGGTAACCAAGTTTTGTAGTCATAGTCATAGTCATAGGATTGAGTAATTGCCGGCACGTGGCGTGCACATGAAGGATTGAAGACCTTAAGGGCATTCTTGTTAGCATCAGCCATCAGCTCAAACTACACTTCGGAGTTTCATCAGACTTGTCTGATAATTAAAAAAAAGCACTGCGCCAACCAACAACCAGGTTTTGCGGCTCGAGATGCTTATATACAGTAATCAGATTGCTAGTCAAGAACTCTGCCAAAGGCTTATAGAAGTACAGTACTAGTAGTTTATTATTGTAATTACCTCTAGGGTAGTTCCTATACAAGCATTTGCACACAACCTTCTATTACAACATTGCAGCCTTCAACCGGAAAAAACTAGCAAAAAGCAATAAAACTTTAGAAATAAACAAAAGCGACAAATCAAAAGGCCAACTAAGCCTCAAGCCTATTAGAAGACATCTACTCATGCTTGACGAAGATCTCCAACATAATTGTTTTCAAAAAATGGCAAGCTCACTTCATTGTCGCCCGAATGCTTTCCTTCTATAACTTGGACCAAAATCGAGTCCAATATGTAGATCTGAAAGATAACATGTATATAAGAATTATCCTTTTCTTATAAAAAATAATCATTCCTACTTTGTCAGATAGACCAATATATATACAACACTTGCTCCCATCCAAACTTGGAAGCAATGTTTTTTTTTGTCTATCCCTTGCAACCAGTACCCTGATAAATTAGCTACATTAAGTGGCGGTCTTAAACCAAAAGCAACTTGAATCACTACAGTAGATGTGTGCTTTGTCGAGTGCAATTACACTCGACAAAGAAGGCTTTGCACTCGGCAAAACCTTTGCCGAGTGCAGCACTCTACAAAAAGTTGTCGGCATATCCCTTCACGGCAAAGGCTTCTTTGCCGAGTGCCACGTGTCGGCAAAGCCTTTGCCGAGTGCCGGAAAAGCACTCGGCAAAGATTTACACTCGGCAAAATGAAAATGCGAAAAAACCCAAAAATAATAGCAAAATTTTTCAAAATTTTTTTTCGGGAGAGGCCGCCACCGGCCAGCGCCCGCCCGTCTCCATCGAAGTCGCTGCATTTTTTGTGCTAAATTCGCGGCTAACGCGGCCGGCGGGATTCAAACTCATGACCTCTCCCTCGCGTGTCTGCTGCTCTACCACTGCGCTACACTGTCACTTGTGTCTAGATTCCGTTATCTATCCTTATATATTATACTAAATCGAGAGTAAATTGCTTGTTTGAGGCCTTAAACGAATTGAAATCAAAAAGTGGTCAACTACAAAGTTTCATAACTTTTTGAGATCTACAATTTTCATTTAGGAAGTTTTTCCATCCAAGGTCGTTTGAAAAATTCAAATTTCAAATTTAAGAGATTCAAATGTAGTTTTGCATGATAAGATGATTTCAAAACTAAAAAGTTGTCAACTACATAAATTCATAACTTTTGGAGATCTACAATTTTCATTTAGGAAGTTTTTCCATCTTAGGTCTTTTGAAAAATTCAAATTTTAAAATTTTCAAATTCAAACGTCGTTTTTGCATGACAAGATGATTTCAAATCAAAATGTTGCCAACTACAAAATTTCATAACTTCTCAAGATCTACAAAGTTTATTTTGGTCATTTGTTCATCCCACATAGTGGTAGTAACATTGTTCACAAATCTTATATATCTCTCTTCTACTTTCATGAAACTAATATGAGAGATGTAGATTTTATAAAAAACGTTATTGTCGTTTTGTCAAATGAAGAAATGACCAAAATAAACTTTGTAGAACTTGAGAAGTTATACAACTTTGTAGTTAAAAAGTTTTTCATTTGAATTCATTTAGGATCTCAAAAATTGCTTTGAAAAACTGATTTGCCGAGGGCCAAAAAAATGCACACGGCAAAATGCCTCTTCGCCGAGTGCCAAAACAAAGGCACTCGGCAAAATACATCTTTGCCGAGTGCCAGAAAAAAGGCACTCGGCAAAGACGCATTTTGCCGTGTGCCAAAAAATAGCACTCGGCAAAATACATCTTTGCCGAGTGCCAGAAAGAAGGCACTCGGCAAAGACGCATTTTGCCGTGTGCCGAAAAATAGCACTTGGCAAAATACATCTTTGCCGAGTGCCAGAAAAAGGCACTCGGCAAAGACGTATTTTGTCGAGTGTTTTTTTTGCCGAGTGTATTTTATTTGGCACTCGGCAAAGACCGTCTTTGTCGAGTGCCCAATAAAATACACTCAGCAAAGCCTTCGACACTCGGCAAAGTGCCGATTTCCGATAGTGAATAGTTCTCCAAATAAAATGTGAAACATGGCAATCGAAAAACAAGTGTCGGATATATAGTTTTATTGTTACAAAAACAACAATGCCGATTCCCATTTCATTTTTGCTTTATTACTAAATAGTCTTTGGTTAAAATTACACGTTATATCTTAATCTTAAAAGATGATTTTTTAACTTCCACATATGTTTATTTGTAGGCACAAAGTTGCTATTTATGTAGTGGTTATACATTGATTGTACTGTAAGAACACCATGCTTTGTAAGATTCCATTTCACCGCTAGTTCATTCCACCTAGTTAATTTGTCCCCATCCACAGCTCCTTGGAACAATATATTTAAAGGTACACCACTAAAGACTTGAGAAACGGTTGCATGTTTCTTCATGGCAATATTATACAAAGATGAAAATTGTTGTTTCAGTGTGCAGTAGCCTAGCTAATCACTTATCTTCCTAAAACCTTGTAGAAGTACCATTACGAAGAACAAAAGTAGGTAGACCTAGAAAACGATCTTATTTTAACTTTATAAGGCCAGACCAAAAATGAGAATCTCCTGGTTTCCAATACACTTCACCAATAGTTTTGTCTTTCAAGTACTTCTTCATCAGAAGTTCTTGCCAGACACCATCCTCATTTATAAGTTTGAACAACCACTTGCTTAACAAACATTCATTTTGAATTCAGATTTAGAATTCCACGACTCCATTGATCTTTTGGCACAAAAAGTCCCCCATTTGTCTAACCTTTATTTCTTCATGTGGATGTCGCCTTGCTAGAAAATTCTTGGTCCAAAATAATCTAACTTCTTTACAATGCCCTTAGGCACTTCAAAGAAGGACATCATATACATTGGTAAACTGCTCAAGACTGAATTAATTAGAACAAGGCATCCCCCATAAGACAAAAGTTTTTCTTTCCAGCTGCTTATTGTTTTTTATATCTGTCACAATGACATTCCAATCTTTATTTGTGAGTATATTGTGATTCATAGGGATACCTTAGGTATCTAAAAGGATAGCTTCTTTAGAATGCCTTTAGGCACTTCAAACAAGAGATGTGAATATTGGTGCTCATATTCCTTAGCATCCCCGTAGTAGAAAAGCTCACTTTTTATGAAAGTTATTTTTCAAGCCTGATAACAGTTCAAAAGCTCATAAAAGAATTTTCATATTTTTTGCTTGTTGAATATCATGTTCCATAAACAAGATTGTATCATCAATATATTATGATGTCATTTTCTACTAGATGTTGTATAACTCCATGAATCTAGCCATTTTCTTTTGTTCTAGCAACTAAAATAGTCAACATATCCATATCCATAACCAGCGGCAGATCCAGAAAAGGACCAAGGGGGGGGGGGCTAAAGAATAGAAGGCTAGAAATCATATTACCCATAGACTAATAAATATAATAAATAAGGCTTAATTCAAAGTGCTCAAACAAACAACACTTAATTCAAATGGCTGGGCCCCTGGCTGGGCGGTGGCTGCCAACTGTCCGGTGCCGGCAGAGGCGCGGAGCGGCGCGTGGCACGCCAATGGAGGGCTGAGGACGGGCCGTTGGGGCATGCCATCCGCCCGTGGAGGGCCGAGAGGTGCAAAGGACGCTGTGCGGAGGTGCGGAGCACGAGCATGCGAGCACCCTGGGCGAGCAGCGGACCAGGCGAGCAGCAGACGCGAGCGGACGATGCGAGCAGGCGAAGCGGCCGCTCGGCTAGGACTAGGGTTGGGT